TTCTGAGTTTTGATGATTTTTCCCAAAATTGGCCACGAGGCGCAGCAAGTTGCGGGACTAGGTGACTTGCACCATATAAAAGGAAAAATTAAATTCATTTAATTAGATGATGTTTTAAATTATGTTTTTATAGAAATAATTATTTATCTTGTAAAAAGCAAATTAATAATATATAATACTTACAAGCTTGGTCATTATAAAAAAATAAATCAAAATATATTTAATTGATGATGTTGTAATAGAAATTATTTTGTATTGTAAAAGTAAATTAATAATATTCTTACTAACTGATTATAATAAAAAAATACAAATTAAAATTGAGTTAATTAGATGATGCTTTAATAAAATTATATTGTGTTGTAGTTAATATAATAAAATACTTACGATCTGGTTATTATAAAAAGGTAAATTTAATTAGATGATTTTTTAATAGGAATTATTTTGTGTTGTAAATTACTATATGATGCTTACTTGCTAGTTATTATAAAAAAGTAAAGTTAAATCATTTAATAGATGATGTTTTAATGGAAATTGTTTTGTGTTGTAAAAGTTAATTTATAGTATAATACTTACATGCTGTTATTATAAAAAAAAATTTATTTAATTAGATGATGCTTTGATAAAGTTTATTTTGTGTTGTAAAAGTTAATTTATAATATAATACTTACATGCTGTTATTATAAAAAATAAATTTATTTGATTAGATGATGTTTTGATAAAGTTTATTGTGTGTTGTAAAAGTTGATTTATAACATAATACTTACGATCTATGAAATAAAAAATAAATTATTTGATTAGATGATGTTTTAATAAAAATTATTTTGTGTTGTAAAAGTTAATTTATAATATAATACTTACGTGCTGGTTATTATGAAGAAATTTATTTAATTAGATGATGTTTTGATAAAGTTTATTTTGTGTTGTAAAAGTTAATTTATAATATAATACTTACTATCTGGTTATTATAAAGTAATAAAAATATTTAATTAGATGATGTTTTAAATAATTAATAAATTTTTAACTTATCAAACCAACCCAATATATTATTAATAATATGGTGGTTGTTAGATGAAAACATGTCAATTATATCATCTAGATCAGTTCCAGAAGTCTAATAATAATAAATAATGGCATATTTAAAATTTGTCATGATGTTGATTATTTTGTTAATAAATTATATTTAATTCAAAATGTAAGAAAATTCACCTTTCCCCTATTTGTCATTTCTAATCTTCTAGTGTCTTTGCTATAAAATCCTATTTTCATGGGAGAACCAACCATTGCCCATCGAATATAATAAACATTGTTTTGATTTTTATTAGACCTGTAAAAATAATAAATAAAATTATTATTAAATATATTAAGAATAATATTATATGTGCTAGATACCCTTCAATGATTGTTGAAAATCCATATTGATTAAAATATTTAAATTTGATGGTAATATCAGGACATTTGGGTTCCATGCTAACAAAAAGATAGTTCGGGAAAAAATGGGGTTTTTGAGAAATCAGCTGATTTTGTTTTT